AGTTGTCTGTAGAATTCTTCTTTCTTTTCGAGGTCTGCGTTGTTTGTGGGTGCATAACATTGTATGATTGACACTTTCCTTCCTTTGGAGTTGAATCTGGCGGTCATTATCCTGGACGAGATCGCCTCCCATTGTATCAGGGCTTTCGTTGCCGTTGGTGACATCATGATAGCCACGCCCTCGGTGTGCGTGTGGTTATTCATCCTCGAACTTCGTGTTTATTTTGTCATTCTGCTATTTCTACATATTCAATCCCTGATTGCACAAAGAATTATTCGTCGCATTAGTTTTTTTATCCAAACATCCTGTCTATTTTGTTATTTCTACATTTCTAACCTCTAATTGCACAATGTCAATCTTCTTTGTTATTATGATGTTACTTTGTTTGTTTTATCCATGCCCCTGTTTATTATGGCATTCTAATTCCTAATTTTAGTTTTTATTAATTTTTAATAATTTGACCCTTGATCGGATATTATTCTGGAACTTTCCCATCCATTTGTTTTGAATTTGAACAAAGCAAGAACTACAGTTTAAGCAAAATAAAATGGTACCATCTTTTATTTCGTTGCCTTCTCGTCAGCTGCTTACATGGCAAAGACATTATTAAATATATCTACAACAACAATTTTAACAGCTGACGAGAAGGCAACGAAATAAAAGATGGTACCATTTTATTCTGCTAAAACTGTAGTTCTTGCTTTGTTCAAATTCATTAAGGGGAATAAATGTATGACATTTGATATGAATACACGAATGTACAGCCTAGATGATGACTTCGTCGAAAAGAAAATTGTCTTCGCTGCAATTGTCTTCTTAGTAACTCCTATTTCCTCTGTCTTTTTCTTTTTTGAACGTTGTCATTGAGTCATTGCTTGAATCATTGCTCAAATCATCAAACTTGAACGAGGAAACACAGAAAGAGATACGCCAAACAATCGTACCAATGGTCAAACAGGAAAAAACAACACACTACTCAGCTCTCAAGAACTAAACGCCCTCAAAAAGCTGAAAAATAGGAAGGACATCGTCATCCCATCAGCTGACAATGAAAGAACAACAGTAGTCATTAACAGAGAAGAATTCACCAAGAAAGCTGAAGAACTACTCAAAGACGAGGATGTATATTACCAACTCCCAACAAATCCCATACAAACTTTGGACAATCGCATTCAAAAGACCTTAAACATGGTCATCAAAACTGGACAGATCACAAAACAAAACCAATGGTGAATGAAATCCAATGGACCAGTCCTATTCCGATTCTTCGGCAGACCCAGAACACAAGCCAAATATCCTGTACGACCAATTGTATCACTCTCAGGAACTCCAACATATAATTTATCCAGAGAATTATACGGGAAACTGAAACACATAATGGAATCTTGTGATCACTCCATCAACTCTACTATCCGATTTCTAGAGAAAACCAGAGGCATCCAAGTAGATGAACAAGAAATAATGGTATCCTTCGACGTCACAGCATTATATACCACAATCGGACAAAAACTAGAAAAAGAAACCATGGAGAAATTACTTAGCAACGACGAACAACTTCGACAACAGACGAAAATGTAACACACAAGCTGGATGGAATGCATAAACCTATGCCTAACAACATACTTCCAATTCAACGGCCAAATATATGAACAAGTCAAAAGAAACCCATAAGATAGATCGCCAATATCAGGTTTGATTGCAGAAGCAGTGATGCAAAGACTCGAAAACACAATTCTACCAAAGATCAAACCAAGATTTGGATACGCTATGTCGACGACACATTTGTAATCATCAAAAGAAACGAATTAGATAAAACTCACAACTTAATAAACAACGTCTTCAGCGACATCAAGTTCACAAGCGAAGAAGAATCCGAGAACAAAATACCATTTTTGGACGTCTTAGTCAAGCAAACAACCACAGGGGAACTAGAAACTCAAGTTTATAGAAGGTCAACTCACACAGACCAAATACTGAATTACAACAGTAACAACCTAATAACACACGAAAGGAATTGCATACAAACACTATTCAAAAGGGCCAGCTAGGACTCATTGCAGCACTCCCACCTTAAGGAAAACTGAAGAAAGATATCTCATGGACGTCTTCCAAAAGAATAGATATCCACGGAATTTCATCGATAAATATTTACCCCGAAGCCAACCGATCAAATCAAAATCCTCCAAGAAAAGCACAAAACATTCGCTGCGAGACTATTCAAACCTTTACGATTTGACGTCGCACACAAATCATCAAAGTCACTTCCCTCAGTTCTATGTCAACCAAAAGACTCAACAACGAAAGAAGATAAAACCAACATCATCTAGAAAATAAATTGTAACAACTGCGAAAATCACTACACTGGGCAAAGTGGATGTCCCTCTCCTTCGTCTTTGAATCCATGAACATAAGCTAGCCGTCAAAAAACATAAAATCCACCCCCTCATATCACTGCATACAGACAACCACGGAAATCAATTCGACTTAAACAACCAAAGTTCAAATATTAGACAGAGGAAACAACACCAAGAACGCTAGAGAATTTTTGGAAGCCTACCTGCTATTCCAGTGAACCATCAATCAATAGACACATCGAGATTGACAAAATCTACCAACCAATAAGGAGGAGACCTCACATACACACAAAGGGTGAAAATTCAAGTCAAAGAAACAATCAGTTCCAATAGCGATACAAGTAGGCTAGAAGGTGTGAAAACACACCAAAACAACCAAAGAATCACGTCCAACGTGATCACCGACCAGGAGAGATGAATAATGGTGAACTCGTGGAGAAATCTAAAAGCTCACTTCGATTGAAATTGACGGGTATGCGCTGAAGGAAGATGTCGCTTGCCTAGTAAGTAGGGCGATGAAAGCTTAGCAAATTGACTGTCCAGCCAGCTCAGAGAACACAACGAAATCAATATATATATATATATATATATATATATATATATAGATGAAGCGAGAGGATATTGCAAAATAGAAGTTATGCAGAAATAAATTCTAGAGGGCGGAAATCATAATTTAAGAAAAGACAATGAATCCTATTCGGATAGATATTTTTATATGTATCTGTGTTAATCAACCAGATCGAGACGAAAATGTTGCGTGTCTTGTAGGTGTGGCTTTGAAACCGTGCAAACTATATGCATTAAACGTTTATATTACATGTTTTATAGGTGAATGATTAAATTAATTGTGTAGATCCTTTGGGGTGTCAAAGTTGTGCAGCAGATATGTACACTTAATAAACGTCTACCTTGTTTTTCTGTCAGTCTCTGTGCATAAGGATGAGCTTTTTGGCGAGAGATTGATTCCTTAATTGACTTAGGAGTATACAGTGTTGCTTAGTCAGGCAGCCACCAAAAATGCATGTTATTCGAATACACTGACTGACTCTTATACAATTATAGAATATCTCAGAAACCTTGATAGGTCAGTAGTCAATGAAGTTTAACACAATATCAGAGTGATTCTTTAGCTTGCAATGAGTTAAGCTACTTACGCTGGGATGTATTCAAACCATGACATCTTCTCAGTATTATTTCTCTTTGACGCTAGAACCATGTGGTCAGAATAGACTTTAGATGTTCGATTCACTCTAAAATAGCTACTCATCAGTTACTGAAGTTGAAAACATCCATCAACTTGAGTTGACGATACACGTAGTAAACAGACAAAGATGAAATAATATTCACAAACTGAGTAATAATTAACTTACGCTAAACCGTCCAACAACAACAACAACAACAACTAGCACTAACCACCATCAGCGGGAGAGATTTGACAGAGTTTACTTCCGGCCTTCACTTACCTTGGAAGCAAGATTTTGAAACGTTGGTTAGTCGGAACGGTTACCGATGTCAAAGCCAGATAGAATCGGAAAGGTAAGATACGCCTTCATCAACCTGAAGCCAGTTTGGAAATCTTGTGAACTCCGCCTCGGCATCAGCAACAAGATTCGGATTTTTAACACGAATGTGAAGTTATTTGGTACTTCTCAACGGGTCAGAATCTTGGCGGCATTTCCAACTGGCCATTGCAGACTTTTATCAAGGGCTGCCTCTTTAGCTGGCTCCACACTGAAGACTAAGTAGCCAGCTGGGTGGCCAGAACGAATTTGCGCGCGAAACCAAATCCTACAGACTGATTGAGATTAGTGGTTGTATACCACTGGTATCAGTCAGCAGTGTTTCCGGCCAGATCTCTGTGATCCAAACTCTGGGTGGCCGTTTCGCTTGTTTCTGCTGCCGAGCCCATCAGCACTGCATCCAAGTGGACTGAATTCAGAGAGCCGAATAGTCTCAAACCAGACTAATTCTGGTTAGCTACTTGGTGACACTTGAAATCAAATTCTCAAATTGATAATTAATTCTAGATTTCTAATTTATGCAGATCTATGGGGAATTTCATTACAGTTTTCTTTGGAAACCAAAACTATCTATATCCTTGTTTTAGGTCTCTTCAGAGATAAGCACCCACGACCCTGTCAGGGATCGAACCTAGGGCCTTCCTTTTTAAGATGCCAAGATTGTACGCGATTCTGCCACTCAAGCTGGAACTCAATGACCAGTAGATTCTAACTTATACCAAGTGGTTGCCCTTACAACCGACTTGGTGAACCTCACCAGTTAGGAATTCTCAGTAGAACTCCAATAGTCAGTCACTAGTTGGTATCGGGTTATTTTTCGAGGGTTAGTTTGTAGGGATTCGATTTGTTTCAAGTTTGACATGACGGATTACTGTCAGTTAGAAAACTGATGGAGAGTGTCAAACAAGGACAAAACATCTGTCAAGTACTTCCTAGCTTCAAACTTCAAGAATGCGTGATTTCAGTTGGGGGAAAAAAGTGTTTTTGTTCCTTTTCTTTATTGTTACAAGTAACTAACCGCCTTTATGTTAAGCCCGATACATAATTGCTCATAAAAATGTATTTTAAAATTTTGCATTAATATTAATATCTAGTATACTGAATAATGTGAATGATATTCACTTACTGGATTTAGGATTCATATAGCCAAGATCAGTTTGGGTAACAAACAGGGCTTTATTTTTCCCCTTAGCTAAAAAGTCTTGCATAGCTTCCAGTTGATTAGTGTCTAACAGCCAATCGCATATTGTGTTTGCGTCACTTCCAAAATATCTTTCCAGTATTGCTACAAGATACATATGCCGTTCATCGACAAGTGCTCTTCTTAATTCACGATTCTCTTTTATGCGTGCCTAGAAAAAAGAGAAAAAAATGAAAGTGGAGGGGTAACAACTCAATAGCGAACTAAACAGTATTATTATTTTTTTAAATTCCTTGAGGAACATAGGGCTTCAGCCAAACGCCTTCATTGCGTTGGGCTCTCTGCTAGAGTTTTCACCTGGCTACAAGTCTGCCCACATGCTTTCATCTCCTCTTCACATCACCTCCTCCACCTCCAAGTCACCCTCACACTGACCCCCGATTCGCCACTTCCCATTCGACTGGGTTCCACTCGACAGAGAGAGTGGCGTGTGATGTTGCTTGATGGCTTCTTCAGAAAATGACCAATCCACGTACATTTATTCCTGCCTATTTGTCGCACAGTGGAATCCTGCTGTGTTGGTTCGCTCATTGAGAGAGATCCCTTCCTGTTGCTGATCTTTTCTGGCCGGCCATCTCATCTTCAGTGGTATTCAGCGAAGACAGCTAGCTGCTGATGAAGGTGTGTAGTTTGTTTGAGGTGCTCTTCATGACATACTGGTCAAGTCTCTGATCCATTCGTATAGTGAGTAGCACTGACTGACTTCACATTGGAGTTGAAAATCCGGATCTTATTTTGATTTTCACGCTGACTGCTGTTGGCCTCCTTCACATAGACTTGAGATTAATGAAAGCTTATCTTGCTTTCCTGATCCTTGTTTGTTTGATATCCTCGTCAGTTCCGTCAGCCTATAGTTGAAACAATGCTACCCAGGTAGGCATGGGAGGTTGTTTCTTTCAGGTTCCTCTCAATTATGCTGGCTGATTGTTGTATGTTGTTGTTGTTGGCCAGGAATCTTCATCACCACAGCTGTTTTCTCCATGTTCACTTGAAGGAAGTCCTATCTTCTCCGTATGGTCCTTCTGACAACTTGTAGCTTTTCGCTTGCATATCAGACATATATCATCGGTGAAGTCCAGATCCTCCAAGTTTTCCATGAGGGTCCATTTTATGCCTGTGTCCTAGCTGCTCAACCTGATGTTTGTCGCATAATCCAATCTACTGCAATCAATAAAATCATTGGCGATATCAGGCAGCCAGCCTTGCATTACTCCCGGTTTCACTTCGAAGGATTCTGTAATTTTCTCGTTGTGGTCAAGCCAATTGAACAGTTTTGATCCCAAATCACTTTTATGGTTTTAAATACTACAGTTTTAACTAACTACTGGTTTAGCGCATTGAAAAGTCAATTTTAAGGCGCAGCTACAAATTACACAAATTAACATCACTTCACCTACACTATACTATTATTATTATAATTATTATTCGTTCCTGTCATTCCCAGTGGGCCGTGGAATTTCAGCAGAACATCTCCGCTTCATTCGGTTCTTTTACTTTCAGTTGCCTCTAGAACCGCCGAAAAGCCTTAATGTTCTTCTCTGCATAACTTTCTTTATGAATGGCCGGTATGCGATGGCAGCCGAGCCTCATTTCATACCTCACCCCAAATATAATGATAATAAAATAGTCGAGAGAAAGTCCACTTCAGAATTTAAGCTGTTTATGATATGTAAGTCCAGTATACAGACCAAGTAACTTATCGATTTGTCCAGAGCATTTGACTATCCACGTTAGAAATATTTATTACTAATTCACTAGGATAATAAATTTTCACATGTATCTGTAAACCAGTATGGTCAGAACAGAAAATTATAAGGGATATTTGTGCGGTTAATTTCAAACTTTGCTTAAACTTGATTCTGTAAAAGGAAACATCCACTCTTCATTGACAGTACTCCTATATGATGATTCATTATCTAATGCCTTTGTGGCATCATCAAAGTAACTGTTCAGACTTACAAAGATTAAACCCACTGATTGATTATGTACACAGAAAAGAATTATATAATTTTAGTCACCCACGCTTTATGACAGCTAATTTAAAAAGAAAAAAAAGCAGCAAAAATATAAGTGCACTTTCTACTTTTAGTAAAGTAAATGTTTACGATTTCAAATCACCGAAAATATCCATTGAGTCATGAAGAAAAAAAATTTTCTTTATTGACGAAATTCACAGGCTGGCCTGGCTGTACAGTCGTATTAATACTTACCAAAAATGTATATAGTTGTCTATTATTGAGTAATACGGGTGGGGGTGACATAATTGATATAATTACTCAGAAGTGGTTTAAGAAGTGAAAGTTGTAAACTACATGGTACTAAACGGAACAAAGCTATAAATTTGATAAGGTTAAAATTTGCTCTTGAGTGAGAATAAAAGTATTTGATTGTCAACTTAACATGAGTGAAGAGGGTGTGAGAATGTACAACAGGAAGCATATGAGAGTGATAACAGTGAATTAATCATTAAAGTAAAAGCAGACTGAAAGTAAAACTAAGAATCAAAAAAGATCGATCTACAAGAAACACAAAATGGGGTGGTAAGTACACAAATTTCCATAGTTGCGAAAAAACAGTAACCTGATCCACTCCTTATCCTTAAGAATAAGAAAGATATGTTTCAGTGATACAATCGATAGGGAGCTTAGGCGATTCAGACAAGTCCTCATAGAGAATGGATATCCCCCAAGATTTATCAAGGAAAACATGAAGTTAAGGGAAGAGCCTGGAAGAATCTAGACGGTGCCGAGAAGAAACTGCTATTTATGAGTGTTGAATTTAAAAGTGATACTGAAGCTGACATCCTGAAGAATCGCTGCTTGTACACATCACTGAGGAAAGCCTTCTCTATGGCTGAGCTATGTATCAGTTTCTACAGCCGACAAATGATCAATAGATGTGTGAGTGATAAACTGCTGCCGCTTTGAACAGGCCACCTCACTGTGTGTTTATAAATTCACTTGCTCCTGTGGAGCTAGTTATATTGGCCGCACAAAGCGCACGCTTTCCAAACGCATCTCTGAACATTATCCGGATGGTTAGCAAAGGGACAATGCAAGACAATTACTAGCTAAATTCTCGAGCATTCGGTGAACTCAGGCCACGTAGCCTCACCAGAGTCGTTTTTCAATATCATCTACAAAGTGAAGCCAAATGGTACAAAGGACGTCAGGTTTCGGCTTTTGTGTATAGCGGAGGCGCTGGCAATTTGTCAATATAACCCTGGATTCTTTATACAGAAAATGTTTGTCCAGTCTCTTATTCTACCTTGGTCTTAACCTCTTGACTAGTCGTTCCCTGTAGAAAAAATTTTGACTTTTTTCTTTCTTTTTAATTTTTAGTTTTACTTTTAGTTTTCTTTTACTTTAATGATTAATTCACTATTATATCACTCTTATATGCTTCCTGTTGTACATTTTCACAATCTCTTCACACTTGTTAAATTGACACTCAACTACCAGCTTTATTGTCTTTCCGTCAATAGCAATTTTAACCTTATCAAATTTATAGCTTTGTTCCGTTGAGTACCACGTAATTTAAAACTTTCAAGTTTATGATTTCCCGAGGAATTTTCAACGTTACTGTCAAATCACTGTTTCAACATTGTTCAAGGGTCTTCGCAGGCGTGCTATAACTTGCTGCAGACCTTCATTAAGAGCGGCTTTCACTCGATATCGAAGGTCATACAACCTGCTAGAAAAGATAAGCATCAAGGAACTTTTTTTAAGCAACAAACCAATCAAAAACCTGTCTCCGAACAAATATTCAAAGAGGATTGGAGATGTACAGAATGAATAATACACATAGAAGATCAAAATGTGTCGACCCATGTAAGGCAATTGAGTGGAACCTGAATAGAGATGATATGAAGGAGATAGTTTGGAAAGCTAATGGAAACTTACTGGCAGTCGTGGAGTTAGCTGTAGAAGTCTGCAGAGAACTGAGTGACGTGGCCTTGTGCTGCTGAAGCTCCATATTCCACTCAGAAGACCACAGGGATGCACGATAGTGAAATGAAACAACCGCAGCAGAACAGAAGTTATGCTGACTTAGATGGCTAATGAAAACCAGTGTCAAAACATCAGCTACTTATCGAACCTCAAGATACAGTTCATCTGATTAGTGAATAGAAGCTAGAAATGAATCTATTTACATTTCTTATTTTCCATTCCCTACTTCACATGCTTGCATTTCAATCTGAGTTTTTTTATATTACTCACGACATCGTCCATTGATTACAGGGAATTTTAGTAAGCGATAAGGTTAAATTTTGATATGACATGCTAATTTAGTCTGCCTTCAGTTACTTTTTATTTCGTATATACCTAGAGAAAAAGCTGTGATAAACTGTGATCTCATACGACCCCTTTCAAACATGTTTAAGGTCCCTCTGCAGAAGATATGAATATTCGTGAAATTCGGAGAAAACCCGGAAGACGTATCATCACAGAGTGTTAAATTTTATGACTGCTTGGCCTAACATACACCACCTAACACTAGCGGTTCTCTAGCACTGCCGTACTATCTAATGCCATGTATTACTGACTAATTGATTTGAGATGGTTGGAGGCAATCTGCAGGAAGATTTGGACTTAGACTTAGGTTTCGTGCTAGTTAGCACTCACCCACCAGTCGGTCAGTCAGCAAGGCGTTTTTGCGACCAGACTGAAGGAACAGCTCATATTCCTGCTGAGATTCGAACCCAGTGCTGCAGTCAGAGACTTTACAAGAGACGAGACACAATACACTAGTTGCAACAGTGTTACCATAAATTACAAATAGGAGATGACCAGAGAGTCATTCATTTTTGCCTAGTGTTTTCTCTGTTCCACCTTTTTGGTGATTGACTTTCCATTGTCGTCGTTTATTGGCTTAATCTGTGTCGAATGTTTTCCCGAAAGGTGCCTAGTTGTTTGGTAGAGTGTGGCGAGGTCTCCCTTGCCTGCAGATTGCTCTGTTTCACTTCCCATGGCTTCATAATATTTTCTTTTGTCTTCCCTGGCACTCACTCTTCTTCACTCTTTTGTTCAGTGTATTGTAGCTTGAATTCAGCTCCTGTTTTTGTTGCTCGTCGGTGCACTGGATAATCATTTGTTTCACTGTCCTTCTCTCTTCTATTAGTTTCCAAGTGTCTGTAGTGAGCCACTGTTTGTCCTGTCTCTTCTTTCTGCCTAGAACTTCCATGCAGGTTTGACTCCACGCCGTTTTCAAGTTGTTCCAGTGCTTTTTGACGCTGACCTTTTCGCTGGTGTTGATTTGTGTCTCGGCTTTTTCCCATATGTTTGCAATGAAGGTGTCCTTTGTAGCCTGGTCCTTCAGTTTTTGAGTGTTGAACTTGGCTTGTGGTCTATCTGCAGCTCCTGATTCCCTGAAAGCTTTTAATTTGATTTGGATTGTCCCTTGTACGAAATAGTGGTCTGAGCCAACCAACATCTGCTCCTCTTCTTGCTTTTGTGTCCAGTAGGTTGCGCCTCCACTTCCTTGAGCAGTATTTAGATGAAGTCAATTTGGTTTTTGGTTTGCCCGTCTGGTGACACCCATGTAGCCTTGTGGATATCTTTGTGCTTGTATACACTGCCACCAATCACTAGTTCGTTGAAGGCGCAGAAGTCGGCGAAGAGTTCTCCGTTTTCATTCATTTCCCCTAGAGCTTCTCTACTCATGATGAGTTCTCTTTCTGTGTTGTCTGGTCCCAATTCGGCGTTCATGTCTCTCATTAGTATTTTCATGTCGCCAGCTGGCGTATTGTCCATTGTTGCCTGTAGTTGTCTGCAGAATTCTTCTCTCTTTTCGAGGTCTGCGTTGTTTGTGGGTGCATAACATTGTCTGATTGACACTTTCTTTCCTTTGGAGTTGAATCTGTCGGTCACTATCCTGGACGAGATCGGCTCCCATTGCATCAAGGCCTTCGTTGTATGCGATACTTTGGTCGAAAATAGCTATCCCGAAAAGTTTATCAAGAAATATATGGCTAAGAAAACGGAAAAGGACTACTCACTATCTGTAAACAAGAAGCCTCTTTATATATGACTGAAATTCAAAGGCGGTATACCAAGTGAGATAATTATGAAGAAATTAAGAAAATCAATTCAAAGAACTTTTAATTTTGGAGGGGAACTACACGCCTTATTCTCTACACGACCGATGGTGCTACCTCGACTGAAAGATGAATTACCTAGACTAGCTGGCTCTTTCAAATTTTATCTACCAGTTCAACTGCGCTTGAAGTGGAGCAAGTTATATTGGCCGTTGCTCTAGGAATTTGATGTTTCGTGCTCGCTCGAGAAAATCTCCCAGTATGACTAGGTAAAAGTGTAGTGAAAACGATTCACAGTTCGATACTGAACCATCTGGTGCCAAACTGACTGGCCACAAAGCCAGCCAGCGTGGAAGAATCCTTCTCCATCATCTACCGGGTACCAAATAAATTTCCAAAAACATCGAAGCAACGAATGCTCCAAACCGCAGAGGCTATTCCAATTCGCCTCAAACAACCAGTGTTCTGTGTTCAAAAGAAGCAATTCCAGCTAGCCCTACTTCTGCCCTGGCTTGCTTTCGGTAGAGACTAGAAATTCATGAATTTGTGATATTATCTTTCCTAATTCATCTGAAATTCAGTGTGTATTGTTATGTTGATGCTATTGAACTGTAATCCACTGGTATTATTATTATTATTGATTCGATGTTATTTAAACAGCAACATTAATGTTGTTGTTCAGAACACTAATTCATTCATTCATTCATTCAGTATAATGGATGGATATATAACTGTAGAGCCTGATGATGATGAAGGGGTTATCTCAAAGAGTGTTTATTCTTTGTACAGTATCCTTTCTTGCTTTACCGAAATTTATCAAGCAAAACAAATGCATGAGATGTCACAGTTTAGTTTAGTTCTTCACAATGATCCTACATAAAGGCAATTCCTATTTAGCTAGGATTTATGCTCACAAATCAGGTGAGAAAATTATTGAACTGTCCCGAAATTCATTTTCACTTACCTGCTTTTGTTTAATTTCTTCGTCTGTTAACATTTTTTAATCACACTGACCGAAAACAATGCAAACTGACTGGTATTTTATGTGTGTATAGGTAAGTTGATTAATTTCCGACTCTAGTAATTTCTATTATATGTATATATGTAATTTTTGATTCCTTCTTTGTATTTCAGTAGAGAAAGAATATATCTTTGTGTTTATATCTGATAAATGTTGTGTAATTCTTTTACGTGTTCTAGTCTGTGTTAACTTCCTTTTTGCAGAAAACAAGTGATTACATGTATGAGTATATTTTGCTCACTTTTTCTCTTAAATTTTATCTATCTTTCTTCAGCTTGACTAATCTGCCTAATTCCTCACATCTGCTTGTAACCCGCGTCTTATTATTATTTTACGTGGTTTAGTTGTTTTGAAAAGTCTATGCCGGTAGGTATTGATTAGTTAATTAAAGAATTAATTAGGATTTATCGATTTTACTTGCTATCTAAGTAAGTAAGTATGCTGTTTTATTTGAGTGGCAGGATGTTTCCAAACTTTCAAAGGCATATTCATCTTTAGATTTATAATTAAGGCGTACTATGCGACATTCACAGAAGGCATTGTATTATTTTTAAGACAGAAAGCTATAAAATTACAAACACCAAAAAGACATGGTAGTTTGAAATGAATGTGTGTCTAAGAATCTGAAAGTTTCTGTAGAATATAAATTGTATGATTAAGTTACGTGGCCAATAATTTGATTGGACAATAGTAACTAGTGTGATGTGCCTAGTCCTCTGTTTGGTGCACACTGAATTCTATCAGTCACTCACGTTTGTAATGTGGCCACCATTCCACATAAATCGCCATCACGGTGTAAGTTGATTTGATAGTATCAGATGGTTAGAGGTGATCGGCTACAAGAAGCCCTATCCACACCTAGGTTTCGTGCTAGTTCACGCTCACTCACCATCATCAGTCATCAAGGCGTATCTGCAAACACATTGAAGGAACTCATGTCCCTTCTGAGATTCGAACCCGCCTCAAATCAATGTGCACCCTGATGGCGCGCTACGTAGAATTCTATGGTGGCCACAGTGCAAAGCTGACTAACTGACTGAAAGAATTCAGTCCGAACCAAACAAAGGACTAGACACATCACACTATTTACTAGTGTCCAATCAAGGTATCCACTACATTCTCCAAGGGAGGTCAATCATGAGCCAGCCCGAAAAGCTCAGTGCTGATAACATCTCTGACTGCAGCTGTGGGTGATGCGGGTTCGAATTTCAGAAATGATTTGAGTTCCTTCAATGCGGTTGGAAATACGCCTTGGTGACTGACTGGTGGGTGATTGACAACTAGCATGAAACCTAGGACTAGGTAGTAGTATTTCTTGTGGCCGATTGCCTCCAACAGTCTAATATCATTACAAGGCCAATATTTGGACTTGAATCTTAATTGGTATTCTTGTTACTTTGGAGAAATATCCTCCTAAAACTGTAGATTTTTGGCTGAGTAAAGCCTGAATGCTTTTTGACAGCAGACACTACCCACTGATATATATGACATAGTAAAGCTTTCATAGTGTTACCATAACCTGACTTCGAATACTATACAATCATCGGGGGTCTAGTAATAAAGATTTAGAGTCGAGAGAAGTTAGTTATTATCATTAATATAATTCGTTTGGGTGTGAGTGAAACATATGGCTTCAGTAGTATATCTCCACTACACTTTATTTTCTGCAGTCTTGTTTATTTGGCCACACGATTGTCCACACAGGCTTCCGTTTCCTCTTCACATGATCTCCTCCAAATTATCCTCGAACGTTCAACTCGTCGTTTCGAGAGTTGGATTCCACTCAAGTATTTACTGTGAGAGATGACACTCAAAGAGGCAATCTCAGCAACATGTCCAATCATTTTGCGTTTCTTTTTTTTCTGTTGGCTGATAGCTTTTGGGTAGTTCTGTACCCCTGTCAGAATTCTTTGTTGCTAATCTTTTCTGGTTGGCCATCTTAATCTTAGTATGAAGTAAAGGCAGGTGTGTTGATGAATATCTGCCATAGCCTATTGGAAATGCTATTAGTGACGCGCCAACTATATGAAGTATCTGGAAACAATGATTTGACATTAGTGTTGAAAGTCGGAATCCTGTTTTTTTTGCTGGGTATGGCAAAGTTCTGCACTGTTTTCAAGTGTACTTGTGTTCTGAGACGGATGGTTTAGTTAAACAAAGTATAATTATATTTAGTTAAGCAGCCTTAATTATTTTGTAGAAAACATCTCACTTCATGACAGTTATGTCAGTCTGAGGTGAAAATGTTTTCCAGAAAGATGATGAAGGCTTAGCATGAAAATCACATACCTCAGATTATATATATATATATGGTGAGAGCAGGGTGCTAGCCAATCGGTAGACAGTAATTTACGTCAGTATTTATTCCCCAAATATTGGTCGGGAGAAATATGAACAAGACTGATTCAACAACCAACCACAGCAGACTTTGCGTAGTTAGATACAATTAAGATATGGATGATCTGACATTCAAGAAGCAGTTACAAAAAGATGTAAGGTTAACTTTCAGTGAGAAACAACCACCAATCAGGAGACTGTGTTTGTGTGCTTGAATAAGGTTTTAACTTCTTATAAAGTAATCTGTCCATTAGGACGCACGCACAAATATATAATATGTTCATAAAGTTGTACGTGGAGACCTATTGGAAACACTCATTAAGAAGGCTAGGGAGATGGAATATGAGGTACGAACATGTCTGGTACCAAGCAATATAATTACGGTAGCCATAATAGTCTCAGAGCCAAACATCATAAAAGGAGGGAGGATGGCGCTAGCTGATCAGTAGATATGGTGGTAGTCACTAAGGTGAATCGCTCCATTCTGCAGGAACAGCAATATGCAATTTGACGGCTGGAGATATTTCTGATTTTTATGAGGGCTTAGATCTTTATCTTGAAAAAGATAATAATGAACGCCTAGACAGATCATGCTTCTGCCTTTAAACATATACCATTAGCCCAACCTATTGTTGAGATGCGACCACATGGGCTCTGCACAGATTTATGGGGCATTTTATAAATCAGCTTGCTATCCATTGGCGGATCTTTAAATACCACTTCACAATGTCTTATCAGATTCATTTTCTAATAACGTCTTTACTTGATCTTCATTATATTCCATTAAATCTAACATTTTATAGCTCTTTATGAATTTGATTCGACTTATTCTATTCCTATTCTCTGTAGGGTACGGTTGGGCACCAAATAGACAAAAAGGCATGAAATAAAAACAACCGGGATGAGGATAAATGTATTAAAACCAAAAGTGGACATCATGATAGTAAGACATATATAGTTAGCAATATACATTGCAAATGAATGTTGTCGGCCTAAGGATTAATTACTTCCCGTTCTATTTCCTGTATAAATGTATTTATTAATGATATATTGCAATTACTTATTTTATCACACTTTAATGATTCACCTTAGCACTTTAACTTTTCTAAAACATCTTTCAATCCCTTGTAAACGTTGTACTTACCTCAATATTGGTTGGTTATCGTATGCCTACAACCACGGGATGAAAACGAAACGAAGTCGATTTTCCCGCTCAACCTGGAGGACAACTGTACAATTTCATAACTATACGGCCTGGTTCAGACAATGAGTGTATATATATATATATATATATATATATATATATATATATATATATCAAACATTTAACTGTTTAAAAATTATTATTTTGTAAACAATCTACGATTTGAGATTATGTCAAACTTGATCGTGCCTGTAAAAATGGCATACATTCTCATGTAAATTTATGTTTATATGAAAATATAAATTATTATTGTTATGTACATGAAAAAATTTAAATACATGTTGATTTCCTTAATAAAACAATATGTTGCCTGGCCCTTGTCTTCTGTTGTTATATATATATATATATATATATATATATATATATATATATATATATATATATATATATATATTTCAAATGTTGATTTACAGGGATTTGCTTGATTACAGCATTTCACCATGAACTTCAATTAGAGAACCACCACTGAGAAACCTGGGAGCACTGGGCAGCTTTTTTGTCCTAGTTCGGGACTGTTCATCAGTGCATATTGACTGAAGAAATTGATGAAGTCTGGAATTCAATGGCCACTCAAACGTATTCTACCGGTTGAATGGTCTAGGCGACCGTCTTGGAACCATAATGTCCTGGGGTTGCACTGATGAAGAGTCCCAAGGTAGGACAAACTGCCTATGCTGCAAAACTCCCTGGTTTTTCAATGGTTCTCTAAATGTAGTTAGCTCTTGATTAAACCCATACATATATATATATGCCTGTCACACTGATTCACTCAGATATGAATTCCAAACGACGTAAGCTAACTTTAAGATTGTGTTAGCCGATTTCAGGGAAACATGACCTGTAGACTTGAACTTTTTTGTGTACAACTGGCTTTCATGCATCCAACATTAATCGTGATCATAGTTATTTGAATATAGACTAGATCACATCTAAAGTTAAACGTTTGAATACCAGTAACTGGAAGCTAATAGAAGGTAACGAAAGAACGCATCTTCCTTTTTTTTATTTATATAAGCGCACGCAACTTTCTCATACAAGCTGTAATTTATATTGAAAAAGGTTGATAAAATTTTATTGTTAGGACTTTCAGTGATTACCAACATAATCTAACAACGGTATATTATAAGTTTTCAAATCTTCACTTTTTCATGACGACAATATTTAGCTCCGATGATATTAAATGGTTGAAAACAATCAGCCACAAGAAATACTACTACCTAGTCTAGGTTTCATGCTAGTTGTCACTCACCCACCAGTCAGTCACCAAGGCGTATCTCCAACCGCATTGAAGGAACTCAAATCATTTCTGACATTCAAACCCGCATCACCCACAGCTGCAGTCAGAGATGTTATCAGCACTGAGCTTTTCGGGCTGGCTCGTGATTGACCTCCCTTGGAGAATGTAGTGGATACCTTGATTGGACACTAGTAAATAGTGTGATGTGTCTAGCCCTTTGTTTGGTTCAGACTGAATTCTTTCAGTCAGTCAGTCAGCTTTGCACTGTGGCCACCATAGAATTCTACGTAGCGCGCCATCAGGGTGCACATTGATTTGAGGCGGGTTCGAATCTCATAAGGGACATGAGTTCCTTCAATGTGTTTGCAGATACGCCTTGATGACTGATGGTGGTGAGTGAGTGTGAACTAGCACGAAACCTAGGTGTGGATAGGGCTTCTTGCAGCTGATCACCTCTAACCATCTGATACTATCAAATCAACTTACACCGTGATGGCGATTTATGTGGAATGGTGGCCACATTACAAACGTGAGTGACTGATAGAATTCAGTGTG